AAAATTTAACCTTTGGATGCGTTTGTGGCGAAACACTTTTGAACAAATCCATTAAGCGAGCTGCGACAATCCATCTGAAATAAAAGGTTACGAGTCTAATGAGCTCCTTCAAACGTTGAATGGAGACGTGAATCCTCGGAGCTCGGATACGAGCAAACGCTGCCACAGAGCAGGAAAGGATGGAACAAAACGAGGAGAATATTAAAGTCGGAGCGGCACAGGGAGAGAGAGAGGAAAGTGCTTGGGGTTGCAGATTGGTAGCAGCTGTTATTGCATGAGTGACAGGACGAGTTACAGCCGACACATATCCCGGCCTCCTCGGAGTCCCACCGGCCTGTTGGAGCTGCTTCAACGAGTTGTTCGTCTTCATCAGGGCGGCCGAGAAGCTGCCACGCATCCCCAGAACAAAGGAGCTAACCGAAGGGATGCCCAACTCGCTATTTCTGTTTACATGAGGCCGCCGCCGGGTCGCAGTCCTGCTGCTCGCTGCAAAAAGAAAAAAAAGGAGCGTCCATCTTAACAATTACCTCAGTTTAGAGACGGTGGCGTCTGCCAGAGATGCGAGATGGGTCTCCCAGCGTCGGCGCCGCTTGTTGGAAACCGAGCCGGATCGTGCGGAGCTGCCAACGCATGACGGAGGGAGATTGTGTTTAAAACAAGAGCCATTATCTGCCTGTAATGGAAGCTTCACTTTTTAACTCATTTCAAAGCTTCACTGCTGCTGTGTCGTCAGCCTAAATCACACAGCGGGGAAGCGATGAACATCAGCGTCCTGTTCTGTCTAATTGGCATATTTTCTTTGCAAAAAAATAAGACCTTGTAGCTGAACCTAAAACCAGCAGGTAACAAGTCAGGGAAGCCAAAACAGCCTTCACCTTATCTGGAAACAAAGCCAGTGTTTTCAGGTTATTGTAAAAAATGCTTCTTTCGTCTGGTTGTTTTTATGAAGGTCATGTTTTATCCTTTTGTTTCCGATAAAGGAACATTTATGTGTCAAATCATGGAAAGGTTCCTGGAAAGAACTTCGCAGTTTGGTGCTAATTGTCAGGCAAATGGAGGTGAATCAACCAGTTCACTGGGCAAAATTCAACCTACAAACCTTTTTTTCTGTTACAAAATGTTTCTCTCTTCTGTCTTGTTAGGAAATTTTTTTTAAAAAGTTACCCAGCAACATATGACAAACATCTGTAAAGCGTAACCAAGTGCCTTGATTAGCATTGGCCACCAAGACACCAATGACTCCTCACTCGCTGGTCTTTTTCTTGGACAACAGTTCAGCTGCAGTACCTGGTTGTTCCACCAGGTGGAGCCTCTTATTTTCGTTGTATTTTGTGTATGATGACAATAAAACATTCTATTCTATTTGATTCTATTCTATTCTGTTCTATTCTATTCTATTCCATTTTACTGTTTAATACTGTAGAGACCAGAGGAGGCGTCACTCAGACTACAGGAAGTTCATGTTGGCAGCAGAGAGCATTGTGAGAGTTTAGCAGCAACGGGACCATGATAGAGACTTCTGTAACACCTAGTGACCTCCGACCAGAGCTAAAGTGTTTAAGATGAGTTGGAATCAAGTCTACGTCCAAGTTTGTTTTTAAATGTAACAGACTCGCTTTATTAGCCCAAATCATATGTTCGCTGACTAAAACAAGAATATTAGCACAGGACAAATGACTACTGTGCTCAGCAGTCTATCTGTAGTACCTGGTCGTTCCACCAGGTGGAGCCTCTCACTGTTTAATCCTGTAGAGACGAGAGGAGGCGTCACTCAGACTACAGGAAGTTCATGTTGGCAGCAGAGAGCATTGTGGGGGTTTAGCTAGCAAGTATCAATGTGGTTTCAAATCATTTTGGGCAATTTCTAAGTAACTTTTGACAAGTTTTAAGTAATTTTAGACAAAAGTTCAGCCATTGTCAAAAAACAAATGTTTTGGAACAATTCAATTCTGAGAAAATATGAACAAGCTTTGGGATATTAGACCAATTCTGAGTCATGCTGGAGAAGTTTCAAGACGTTTTAGTGAAGTTTTTGAGTTTAGCTGTAGTGCCTGGTTGTTCCACCAGGTGGAGCCTCTGACTGTTTAATATTGGAGAGACCAGAGGAGGCATCACTCAGGCTACAGGAAGTTCATGTTGGTGAGCAGAGAGCATTGTGGGGGTTTAGCTAGCAACGGGACCATGACAAAGACTTCTGTGATGAATAATGACCTCCAGAAAGCTGTGACATTCCTGCTAATAGCAGCTATAAAATTTCATGGCAGTTTAACTAAAAGCCTAAAATGCAGACCCTGTTAAACCCATTAAGTGGTGTTCCTACACAACTAAGCTGCATTCTCAGTTATACACTGAAAGACGCATATTTCCTCCAAAAATATGAGTAAAAACTGGGATTTTATGGGAATGAAAATGCGTCTAGTTTCAAACACAAACTAGGCTCACATTAGGCGTTTAGAAGAATACGTCTGCAAAAAGACTTTCATCAAGGGTCTGTTTTATCAGATTTAGGCACCAAAACTTCAGAGGGTTGCGTCCACATAGAGAGCACTGAAAGTACAGGACTGGGTCGATACGCTGCCGGCACATCTATCAGAGATGGCAAATATCTGCAGCCTGCATTAAGGTCATTTCCTTTAGATGGGTGATCAATATACGGATTTATGTCATTTCAGTAAATATCTGTTGTTAGTGAAGAGTCGGAGCCAGAATCAAAACATCGTCCTGAAGCGGTGAAGTCTGAGAGGCGACAACACAAGCATCCGAGACACGATCTTATTCCCCAACACAGGCACACGTCGACGCGAACATGGACACAAACTGTTCGTTAAGGTGAAGAAACAATGGTTTTCTTGTGTCTACGTGCAGACAAAAAGCATGCATTTGGTCACACACAAGTCTAGATGCAGGCTTAACAGACAAGAAAGACTTATCAATAAGTTATAATCCATAAATTATGCAGAGAAAAGACGCACACAAACAAACTGCAGCGACTGAAAACTGCTGCTGAGAGGAGACTTCCTGCCAGGACGTCAGAACCAACGGGCGAAAGGGCACAGGACGTAATGAGGCTACCGGCATCCGATGTATAATTTATCGTGTTGGAGGCGACCTATCGAGCCGAGAATATGACGCATAAAAAACAACTTAAGGACGAGTAAACAACAGCGGGCTTGTTATGAAAGAAAGGCGGAAGAAAAGGTGGAAAGTACGAGGGGATGGCAGGTCAAGTGTTTGCCCGGAGCCGCCGCTGTTCAAACACAGGTGCAGAAATGGCAGGAAATCTTTACAAAGCCAAAGAACGGCCTCCTCGCGTGGACACAAAACTCTTCTGGCTGAATCATTGGAACAAAACATCAGCAACCGCGTCAGAAAAAAACATCAGATTCCTAAAAAGTCAGATGCCCAAAGTGGATTTCGGCTCCCGGGTTGCATTTCAATGAGCAGCGTCCGATTCAAGGCTTCGGATTCTGACTCCACGAGTGAAACTGCTGAAGTCAGACTCCGCTTTGCAGGAATCTTGTCAGACGTGGATCGATTCTGAATGAATTCAGCAGCTACCGAGTCATGCTTTGTTTCCAAGCAGCGACTCAGCAACGTGATTTATTTCTCCACAGCTCGTTTGTGCAGCGTTTAAAAAATTCATCACGTCCAACTGTCAAGCGAAACAGAAGTACTCGGAAAATGTAGTAGTCATAAAAAGCTGTTGAACATTTATTCAGGAGAACATTAAATGAATACAGATGACTTTTAAATAAACTGCATTGTTCCAGTGCTAGTCATTATTCCTAATTGGCGCTAGCATGTCTCTGGCTGGCTCATTAATTAGCGCTTGAATTGACGGCTGTAGTTGTCATTACGACGAGGAAACAAAGGCAAAAGATGGATGTTTGCTCCGGATCTGAAAAGTGAAACCAATTCAGAAGTGGTTTAAACATGCACTTTTTACAACAGCCAGCAGGAGGCGACTCTGATCGTATAGAAGTCTATGAGAAAATGACTCCACTTCTCGCTTCCTTTGCTACCTCTGTAAACAGTTTCTTGATGAGTTTATGGTCTCAATTGGTAATTTCAAGGCTTCTTCAGTAAAATAAAACATTTATTTTGTAGATTATGGGTCCATTTAGAGGAAAATACACGATAAAGCCGGGTATGTTTCAGGGCGGAGCCACTTTGCCGGTCAGTCAGATCTACCAGTCGCTAGTCCTGTTTCAATAGATGCCGAAAGCAAAATTTCAAACTAGAAGCTTAAAAACAGTAATTCACAAACCAACGGATGACGTCACGGTCACTTCGTCCATCTTTTATACACAGTCTGCGCTTTGAAAGCTCTCATAAATCTGACTTGGTGCTAAAAATAACAGATGTACAGCTAACGGACCGCTCAAATCAACGAAAGTCACTGCGGGTGACAGCAAACTCACTATGCAGAAGCCATTAATATTTTGCAAGCAAGTGGTCTACGTAGCAACATGGCATTACTAAAAAATGTTGCTAATGTTTGCATCTGTTGTGTTCAGTTTTGCTAGCGTTCATTGGGTAAGACAGCCGGTGTACGTGTCTGATCGCCCCACCAGATGTTTACATGGCATCCAGACATGAAGGCTAATTTACGGTTCCATGTTTATGTCAGTTTGCATGAAGGATTCTGGAAGATCAACCAATGCAGAGGCTACGGAAACTCGCTTACATGCGGTTCCCTGACAAGCCAACAACTTGGTGGTGATGATGCCATCTGAAGGTACTGAAAGGTCGGCAGAAAGGTAAGGAGTGCTTTTGGTATCACCTTATATTCGTACGCCTTCCTGTGCGCCATCACCCCCCAACCAAAGCTTCATAATCAAAGAAGCAACACCTACTAGCCAAGATCAACTAACACCCCCTCAAACAGCACGTAGCTACCACTAAGGACCACCCATCATGGTGGCGCAACAACAAAACGACCATCCGTCCATCGGTGCGTTTGAGTGTCTCCATTGCGTAGAAGAAGCTGAACTTCTTACCCGTTTCCGCAGGTTGCAGGTGAGGATGAGGTTTCGGGAGAAGGAGTTGGCGAACGCCGTGTAGAACTCCAGAACTTTGAGCAGCGCTTCCCTCTTGATGACGTGCAGGTCGCAGTAGGTTAGCGCCCGGACGTTAGCGCAGGCGTGAGCGAGGGTGGTTTCCTTCCAAAAGACGTCTCCGAACACGTCGCCTTTACCTGAAAAAAGAAGAGGCGGGATTTAGAATCTATAAAATCCATCGTCTGATTGATCTTTTGTCTGCTCTAAATGCTCAATACGACCGATTTCCAGCTTATCACTGAGAGGATTTCTTGCTTTTCAAACTGATTGTCATTGGATTTTGGACTGTTGGTCGGTCAAAGAAGGATTTTAAAGAAAATTGGGTGATGATGGATGGCGATACCTGGATGTTTAACAAGATATTCTGAATTTACCAAGAAAGAAATAACACCAGATTAAAATTCTTGAATTTGTTGCTCCGTGAAGCAATTGTCACCAAACAAGCCCGGCTTATTTCAGTTAGTCTGACTTACTTTTGAAGGTTTTTTCAGTTCCATAAAGCAAACTCAACATAGCTCGGTGACTCTGGAAAGTCTTCATTTACAAAACTGTAGAAAATCTGTACTTTTAACTCCTGAAGTTAAAATTAAATGAGCTAAAACATATCATTATTTTACAGATGTTTGCTGTTGCTTTCACAGTTCTTACTGAATCTGAACATTACAGTCATCCACCATTTTTTACCAGTTGCATGAGGCGTCTTTAGTGCCAAGTTTTCACATTTTTTCTCAATTTTTTTGTCTTTCCAGTGTTTCTGAAGGTGAAATGGTTGAGGAGCCACGACAAACTAAAACACACATGAACACTGCTGCAGTTTATCGTCATCAGTTTATCTTCATCTGAACGTTGGTTTAGTTTCTGACAGACCTCCGATCGTGACGATACAATACGAGCGTCAGCTAACGAGACGTTTAATGAATTACAGGAAGATGCTGATTAGACCAGCGGTAAAACATTAAATACCAAACCCGCCGCATCTCTGCACGAGCCCCACACATCCTCACTTTTTCCTTCCTTAGCAACGGTTTCACCTGGACAAGTCCTTAGCAACCGGCGCTGCAGAGATGCTGAGCAGCAGGTACAGTTGTTTCATGTGTGTGGAGCTTTTAGAGCCAGAACGAGAGCGAACCGCATTCGCAGGTATTAATGGAAATAGTTCAGCTGCAGGAGGCTCAAAGTTGTGAGTCAAAGTGAAGGAAATAAAAAAAAAACAGAACCTGAAAAACCTTTACGTCTGAACCTAAAATGCAAAATCCAACTGACGTAAAATTTATGCAGCAACATGTCGAGTTCTGTTATGAAATCTTCTTTCCTGCTTCCTCACGATTACACCGATCAGAAAATCAGTGTTGTTTACTGCACCTGTCAGTGGTTTTAATGTTTTGGCTGATGTTTGAGTTTAATTCTGTGTTTCTATGTCACTGTCAATCAACCAGTTTCCCTTTGAAAGCATTTAAAAACTACATTTATATTTTACCTTCTGAACATTTGTATATATTTCATGAAGTGCTGACATTCTAATGTAATGTTAATATGACATCCATGTGGATATTCTGTCATTTTCAGTTGTTTAATTTTCCAAATCCTAAAACCTGTCAGCGAGTTTGAAGGAAAGTTTTCTTAAAAAAATAAAAGAAGAAAAGAAAATCAGCAAAATGACTCAATTTATCGGCCAGAAACTGTAAAAACAGAAGGAATCGTGACATTTTCAACTTTCTGATGGTCCTTAAACGACTCATCTGTGGAGTGTCATTGTGTCGGAAAATTTGAAGTTTGAATTAATAATATTTCTTATTTGTACGATGCTGCCGCCACCGTGCTTCACGTCATGACGCTGCCTCAAACAAAGAAATTGAAATGCTGTCATGTCTACACAAGAACAACAAAAAAAAGAAATTTTCCATCTTAAAAAAAATAATAAGGGTTTTAAAGGGAAAATGCATTTTTTTTCCTGACATGAGAAAGTTGCTATTTTCTTGCAGCAGCCCAGAACTGCGGTGAAACCTGGACGAAGCAGCTGATCGGTTTCTGGAAGCAGCTGCAGCCACCTGGACACTCGACTCATCGAGTGCCAGCAGACTCGTCGTCACATTAATCAGCCGTCACCGACTGTTTACTCCAAGCGTCTCCGTGGCAACGCCGAGCCGCTGCTAATAGTAAGACAAAGAATCGTAATAACTGCCAACATCGGACGCATCGGACGTCATCAAAAACTAACCTGAGACTTTCAAATGGGGTCGATTAGTGGACTGTAAAAAGGTTCAACAAGTGTAGGAAGGAAATAAACGTGTAAAATAACTGAAAAAACCCTGAAGAACTATAAAAATAGTACAAAAATCAAAGAAAATATCTGAAAATAATTACTTCTTGCTAATTTAAATACAGGAAAATTGTCCATTTTTTGGTCACATAGTGTGAAAAAACTTGTGATGTGAACATATTTACAGTTATTATCTTTTTTTTGTTTTTACCTTTAACATGTAAGTTAATACTTTTTAATGTGAGTTTTACTTATTATCTATAATTTAACAAAACTGAGAAAATCTGTTGAATCGCACTTTTCTAAAAAATTATCTCCTATTTTCAGTACTTTATATATATATAGTCTTATAAATATTGCAAATACGTGCTATTTCTTTAGAGTTAACGTGTGAATATTTTTATGTGATTTTGTCTGTCATGTTTTTTAAATAGAGGAAAATCTTTTGACCAAAAAATTTGATACATTTACAATTTTGAAAGCCTTTTTTATTATATTATATTATATTTTTTTCTATTAAATAACTGAAAATATCTGTAATATTAGGATATTCCTGCTGATTTAAATACAGTAAAAGTAGTGTATGTTGTTGTAGTGTAAACACAGTTGGACAGATTACTATTACAAACATTCAAAGTATTAATTATTGACATTTTTTGCCCATTTTTAAATTTTTTACAATTAACGTGAATTATTACAATTTTTCTTTAATTTTATGACATATTTAATTTATCAAAACAGCGAAAATCTGTAAAATAAAAGTAAAGAAATGTAAAATTCCTAAATGTTTTGCAAATATTTGCATAATAATAATGTTTTTGTTGAATTAAATCCAGCAAAACTGAGATTTTATAGTCAAATACTATTTTTTTTTAAGCAAATAACTACTATTTGTAAAAAAAAAAAAAAAAGAAGAAGTATTTTTACCCTGTTTTTTACACTTAACATGTAAATTAATACTTTTTCTTGTGCGTGTTTTCAATCAGGAGCACAAAATAAGACATAAAACTGAAGAAAATGGTGCAAACAGGAAGATTCTAGCATCTGAGAAGCGCTTTAATAGACGGTTTATTTCTCAGACGGTTTCCCTGAAGACGTCCAGGTGGCAGCAGCAGTGAGACGTGAAGCCGCCACCAGCTCCAGCTCAGCGTCGTTCTGACGGCTGAACCAGACGAGAAGCAGACAATCAGTCCAGCGACACGAGAAAGTCGGTCTGAGAGGAAACATCTCCACAGCGACTCCTCAACGCCTCAAGGAGATTTTAGTTCTGAAGGTTCAGGCAGCAATGAGCTCCCCGAGGAGTCGCTGCACCAATTAGCTGCTGGATGCTGGAGGACGATGTAGGAGGATGTAGGAGGATGAAGGAGGGTGGAGGAGGATAGAGGAGGAAGAGGAGGAGGGAGAAGGATGGAAGAGGATGGAGGAGGGAGAAGGATGCAGGAGGATGTAGAAGGATGTAGGAGGAAGTAGGAGGATGTAGAAGGATGTAGAAGGATGTAGAAGGATGTAGAAGGATGTAGGAGGATGAAGGAGGATGGAGGAGGATAGAGGAGGAAGAGGAGGAGGGAGAAAGATGGAAGAGGATGGAGGAGGAGGGAGGAGAAGGATGCAGGAGGATGGAGGAGAATAATGGAGGAGAGAGGAGGATAATGGAGGAGGATGGAGGGAGGAGAAGGATGTAGGAGGGAGGAGGAGGACTATGGAGGAGGATGGAGGATGAGGAGGGAGGGAGGATGGAGGAGGACGGAGGAAGGGAGGGAGGAGAATGGAGGAGAAGGATGGAGGAGGAGGATGGAGGGAGGATGGAGGAGGAGGAGGAGGGAGGAGAAGGATGTAGAAGGGAGGAGGAGGATGATGGAGGAGGATGGAGAAAGAGGAGGAGGAGGAGGGAGGATGTAGGAGGCTTTAGACAAGGAGGATAGAAGAGGAGGAGGGAGGAAGGAGGATGGAAGTGGATGGAGGAGGCAGGAGAAGGATGAAAGAGGATGGAGAAGGAGGGAGGGGGACAGAGGAGGAGGACAGAGTGGGACGGAGGTTGGAGTCCACGGTTGGGTTCGGGTTGATGGAGACGCTGGTGTCAGAACAAAACGCTCCAGAACCTGAAACCATCTGTGAGGTTTATTCTGATTGAATCCAGAGTGTTTGTTGGAGTCAGACAGTAAATGAGGCTCTTCTGTCCTCTGAATCTGGGATTACATCCATCAGACATCCTGCACTGTAAAAAAATAGAACATTTAGCGTCTTTTTTTGGCCATTTTACTGCTTTTCTCGTTTAAATTATCGATAATATGGCGTAAAATAATATAAACACAGCAGGAAACATCACTAACTGGAATTAAATAAGTCCTAAAATATCCGTATTTTACAAATATTTACTCTTATTTGAAAGAAAAATGAACTTTCTATGACATAATATAAGAATAAAGATTGAATAATAATAATAATAATAATAATAATAATAATAAATGATCGGTGCTCCTTCCTCCTGGCCTTCATCCGTGTCGGTTTCCAGGTTTAAATGGATCCACTGGAGGTTTTTCTCGTCTGCAGCAGCTCCGTCCTGACAGCCTCGAATCCTCCATCAGCAGAAACAGAAATTGGCTGTGGGCGGCTTTATCTGGCGGAGCAGCTCGGCCCGATGATGGTCCGGTGAAGAAGCTGCTGATGCTGCTGTAGCCGCGACAACTGACGGCCGAATGACCCGCCCGCTGCAGCCTCCACGCTCTGGACAAACGTTTGGCTTCGGATTTCTGCTAAATGAGCAACGCCTCGACGCAGGAAAAGTAATAAAGAAAGTTTACAGAAAGTCCCAACGTGATCGGCGTGATTTTAATCAGAACCACTTGCGCTAATGAGACCATTAATTAAAATAATTGA